TTAAAGGATCAGTAAGCTTCCACTCCGTTCTCTTAGCCCATTTCAACGCCAAATTTCTGTACATGGATATTCCAGGAGGTGCAGTGCACTAAGGCTCTCAGAACTGAGCCACATGAATCAGTTTTGATGCTAAAATGTATTTCACTAGGCTGTGCATATATTACCCACTCTACATACAGGCAGAACTATGATCAGGTATAAGGCTAAACATGTTACTTCATCTCCAGTATTCATTAAAATATTCGGGAAGATGTCTAACAGTTTTGGGGTCAGTATCGTCAATTTTTGTAGTCTAAAAAGTGGTAGCACCATCACCAAAACCCAGAAGTTTTTGACAGTTTAAAGTGATGCTGTTCTGGATTTAAATTGATACACACTTGATCTGACCATTTTTCTATCTGTTCACACAGATTTTACAAACATGGGAAATCTTTCCCAAGGGACAGTAGTATTGCATTAACTTGGTCTATTATTTGTACAAATACCTCTAAGTTTGTACAGCTACAGACTGGAATCTTCTGTCTGGATTCTGTGACATGACCAGCGAGATAGAGAAGTAACACTTCACAAATCTTCCCGAGTACTAATAATTGTACACCTTTAAATATGCATTTAAAAGAACAGATACCAGATGGGAACAGCAAGCAGAAAAACAGAAGAAAGAAACCTGAGGTAGGGGACTCCTGGGCTTTTTCTGCTGTCAGTTTAAAAGTGTGATCTTCCAACCATTAAGAAAAGTATCAGTGCCTAAAGAATTTAGGGAATTATACCGAAATAAAACAGAGGGAATTAAAAGAAAAATGCCACTGCTAAATATTCAGTGGAAAACTATGCCCATGTACCAGACAGAAAAAGAGTAACCAGTTTCCTGGTTAAGCTTACTGAAAACAATACTCTGTGACTACTTCCAGCCGAGTATGAACATTTGCTATGACGTAACCTACCAATTAGAATTCCAAGGACAGTGCTTTGAGATTAATAATGAGCTACCACTAAGTACAGAACCCAAGAGGAGAGAGGCTTCCAAACTTCTCCAGGTCTGGCTTCCTCTGCTCAGTAACAAGGTCGGGAAGTGGACAAGAACTTTAACATGGGTTTTAATTTTTAGGAAAGGACCTTTATCCAGGTGCCTGCAGTGTATCCCAGCACAAGAAATTACTTACTGCCCTCTTTCAGCATAACCTTCAGGAATAAATATTTTTTCATCTGTTAGCCCTTAAGTAGCTCAAGCATGTTCTGTAATTACTAAACACAGGATAAAACAACCTGTTCCACAAATCTTCAAAACACCTTATGGCTTGCACTAAACCTGTTTGCTGCCTTCATGACTGGACACTTATTCCCAATCCACACCACAGTGCCTTATGGATACTGCTACCAAAGCCAAGGAGATGACTTAAATACATAGTAAGAATAAACTGCACCAGAAAAAAAACCCAGAATTTTAGAAATAGGAGAAAAGCACCCCCTGTTCACCTGGACAATCATACAGCTGCAGCAACCACATCAGTCATTGCCTAGCCTCTAAGAGGTGCTGCCTAAGGAGAAAACTACTACCATGGAATAATGGTAGTCATTTTCTAGCTTTTTCTACAGAAAAGCCAAAATCAAGCTCAGACATGCTGTGCAACCAGGTGCTTTGACTTCCTAAAAAACAAACATATGTCATAATTCTACATATTTTAAAAATCTATGTATAGCCCTTATGGTTCTCTTCTGCACTTTTCATTTCAGTGTTCTCCAACAAAAAAAAAAGGGGGAGGGGGGCAAAAATTTGGGGAAATATCTCATGCATTCTTCACTTAAAACACGCAAAAATAACTTCACGGTGCAAGACATCTTGCTCCATATATTATTCATTTTATTACAAGATCACGCCATGCCAAGTCTTGAGGGAGGTTAAAAATACAGGGACAAAATAAAGCCAAAAACCAAAAAGCTATCAAAAATCACACAAAATGAGATAAAACCAAATTATTATACAACATTTAAGAATACAGAATTTATTGCTATGAAATACAACATCAGAATTAGCTCCTCAAAGTTCAAAATAGGGTTGTTTAGAAACCAAGAAACAAGGTGATGTTGGAGGCAATTATAAGAAAACTTACTGGACATGAAAATATGGATGTATAAAGAAACGTAATGAAATGTGCAAAATTCTCTCTCAACAGATGAAGAGAAGAAAATGTCTCTTCTCATTTAAATCAGAAGCCTCTCCATTAGCAAACAGAACAACAGAACAGCTGCTTCTTTCCATTCCCCAAATGAAACAGCTCACACAACGCCAAGTCTGCCACCTTTCTAACAGAGCAGTTATCAAAACAGAGCGACTCACAGAGGACAGCCACAGCTCCGGACTCGAACATGAGACATTCTTCTCTGTTCCTGGTTTCCACGATCACGCTGAAGGGAAGTGGATCCAGCTTGTGATAGACTCGGTATCCTTTACTGAAAGCCATTTTGCCTCAAGCACAGGCAGCCTGTCCAACACAAGATGATGTTAGTGAAACCTCCCTGCGCTCCCACACACCTCCCGCAGGGCTGGTCTGACCCACGGCCTTTCCTAGGGATTTAACGTGTTCAGCAAAAACTAACAACAAAATCCCCTGCTCCCTCATTCTACCTCATGAGACTTAGTTTATCTATGTCTAAAAAAACCACAGAGATTACCTAAAGACAGCAAAACAGTGTTTCAAAACCAGAACTACCCAGAAAAACACCTTTCAAAGTCTGGATTTATTTAAAAGCTCCTTTGAGACAACTAGAATTGTACAGAACCCCACACTGCCTTGTGTTGGATGGGACCTTAAAGCCCATCCAGTGCCACCCCCCTGCCATGGGCAGGGACACCTTCCACTATCCCAGGGTGCTCCAAGCCCTGTCCAGCCTGGCCTTGGACACTTCCAGGGATCCAGGGATAGCCACAGCTGCTCTGGGCAGCCTGTGCCAGGGCCTCAACACCTTCTCAAGGAACACACCTAAACCTAATCCCACTCTATTTTAGTTTAATGCAATTTCTTTCCCAATACTTAATTAGTAGGATTTCTCAGAAAAATTTTCTTACCCAAAAAAAAAACTAAAAGGTTTTCCAGCTACCAGCAATATGGAAGAAAAATGCCACCTTAATGGTAAACTAGTGCCAAAAGCAGAGCAGGAGCCTTCAATTTTTTTAGATCTATTTCACTAATTCTGCCCTTGCACAAAAGGACAGAATATTTTAAACACTGAAGCCATCAAGACATTTTAAAGGACCGTACAAAAACGTCAATCTATTTTCAGCTTTTTTTTCCCCCTTTTTTTAACGAAAGGAGCGTTTGGTTTGGATGCAAACCCTGCCCTGCGGCGGCTGAAACATCGCAGTGTCACTGGTGACGCTGCCCGCCAGCCACACGCGAGTGAGATCTCAAAAAAAACCCCACAGAACTCTCACACTGCAGCAAACCATAAACAAATGCGAGAGCAGCCAAATTCTCCGTGCTAAGGCTCGGGAAAACGCAGAGAACGAGGATTTCTCATTCCGGAGCGGGGCCTTCCGCCCTCCCTTCCCGACAGCTCCGTGACCTCCGGAGCGGGCGCGCACCGCCGGCCCCGGCCTGGCCCCGGCCCCGCCGCGCCCTGCGGCACGGCCGAGCCACGGGGCCNGCCCGCCCCGCCCGGTGCCGCGGAGCCGGCGGGATCCGCTTCCTCCCGGCCCCGCGTCCTTCCGCACTGCGCCGCCCGCCCCGGATGGGAGGTGCCGGGGGCGGGCACAGGGGCCGAGCGGGGACGGAGCTGCGGCTTAAACGAACCGAGCCGTGTGCGGGCCACGGCCAGGCCCGAGTCCCGCTGAGGGATTGCCAAGAGGAGCAGAACCCCAGGGACAGGGTCAGGAAGAGCCGTGCGGACTGAGCCGCCACTGAGTCACCGCGCTCGGCAAAGGGCTGCCGTACTCACAGCGCCTCGGCTCGGTGGGAGCCGTCTGGAGCCGGCCTCTTGCTGGCTGCAGTCATGGAATAGAGCCCTGGAATGTCGCGGGTTGGAAGGGACCCACAAAGACCATCGTGTCCAACCCCTGTCCCTGCACAGACACCCCAACAACCCCACCCCGTGCATCCCTGGGAGCACTGTACAGCCAAAGGCTCCTGGAGCTCTGGCAGCCTCGGAGCCATGCCCATGCCCTGAGGATGCATCCCTGGGAGCGCTGTACAGCCAAAGGCTCCTGGAGCTCTGGCAGCCTTGGAGCCATGCCCATGCCCTGAGGAGCCTGGGCAGTGCCCAGTACCCTCTGGGGGAATAACTTGGCGTGATACACAGCCTAACCTTGACAGAGCTCCAGCCGTTCCCTGGGTCCCATCACTTTTTCGTGATACTCAGCCTAACCTTGACAGAGCTCCAGCCGTTCCCTGGGTCCCATCACGGTTAGCAGAGAGCAGAGCCAGCCCTCGGGCGGAAGCTGCGGACCCCTAAAGAGTTCCCAGCTCAATCTCCAGCTGAACAAGCCCACCACCCCCAGCCGCTCGCGTGGCCCAGCAGGGTCTGTTTCGGAGGCAGGCTCCACAGCTGCCCGAGCCAAGGGGATTTTCCCCGTTCCCGGCACAGCCGCCGCTGGCACGGCAGGGAGCGACCCCCGCGTTCAGCGCTGCGGGGCGGACACGGGCGGGAGCGCAGCCCGCGGTACCGCCCGCAGCCCCCCGCTCCCCGGCCCTGCTGAGCTTCCTTTTGTCCCACTCCCAGCTGGTTTCTTTTTTGCCGTGGTCGCGTCCAGTCTCCAAGGCAATGTTCATCACAAGCTTTGAGTGCAGACCGTGCTGGGGCCGGAGTTTTGTCAGGCAGGAGGATTTGTTAGGAGGCTCCGGAGAACTTTGCTCCAATCGCTCCATCGCCCCCAGCGCGGCAGCACCCACCACTCATCCCGAACACCAGCACGTCCCTTCGCCCCGCCCACGCGCCTCATTATATCGGCACATCGCCCCGCCCCCTCATTACCGTGTAATAATCAGCAGGCCACGCCCCTCCCGGCTACAGAGACAGATTATCGATATATAGAAATAGATACATTGATTTAGATGGCGGTTCCTGGCCACACGTTTGACCATTACAGCGACGGTGAGCAGGAGAGCTGGTGACCATCACAGCACTCAACCAAAAGAAAAAAGGAAAGGTGGGAATAAGCTGGGAGGCAGCGCTAAGCAGGTGGGCTCAAGGGTGGCAGGTCACAAACTGAGGAACAGAGAGAGGGGTAAAGGGGCTAGAGAGGGCACAGCAAAAATACAGGGTACAACTTAGGATATAAGGTTGAGAAGAGGTACATCAGTCCTCACCCCTGCCCTAGCCCTTACCTTAAACACCATGCGAGCAGGTGAGAGGCATCTCGAACAGCAAGGCCGGGGCCCCAGGGCAATAGACAGATGCCAGAGGCCAGAAACAGTAAATGAGAGACTGAGAAGAAAGGAATAAATAGCAGGTAAGCTTGACAGTGTCAGAGAGAGACTTTAGAGGTGAACAACTCAAGGGCTAGAGAGCACACAGTGAATATCAGGGGTACCGGTTGGGATATAAGGTAGAGTACAGGTGTACCAGCCCTCACCCCATCCCAACCCATACCCTAAACAGCACCAGGCAGAACACAGGTGTACCAGCCCTCACCCCATCCCAACCCATACCCTAAACAGCAACCCAAAAGCAGGACAAGGCCAGAACCCCCACAGGTGCCCACAGTAAGTGTAATGCTAGCTCTAAGCAGGATGCAATAGTGGAGGGTTAGGGTCCACACCCACAGGGATAACTGGAGCATTCCCAGCCCAGCCAGGGATGCCTGTACCTGACAACCAGGGAAGCTCACAACCCTGACTGAGGCTGTGGTTGGTTGGTTCAGTGGTGAGACTGCTGTGAAGAGCGCAGCTCTGCAAGGGTCAGCCTCTGAGGGCAGCCGCAGCGTGCGGGCCGAGGAGCCGGGCGTCCTTAGGAGAATGGTGAGTAGCAGGCTTGCTGGGTTTTGGCAGCTGTGCGGCTAAGATGGTGCAGTGACGTTTGGCGTTCCTGATTGTAGCCGTAACCAAGGGGCCACAGCCCGGTGACAGCGGGAAATTGCCAGCGAGGGAGGCGGCCTTCCTTTTGGTGACTGCGGGAAATTGCCAGCGAGGGAGGCGGCCTTCCTTTGCAGCGGACGTGGATTCTCATCCCAGGATGCTCGAGAGATAAGTCAAGGGCTGTGACATGCAGGGGGGATGAAAGCAAGGTACTGGGAGAACTTTTTTGTTGTTATCTTAATGCAAAAGTTTCATACCTCAGCGTTCTCTCATGGGCAGCCCCTCAGAGCACCGACTCCTTCTTCCTCACAAAGTACCTACTAGCTCCATTTCCCTTCTCAACCAGCCAACCCCCTCTTTTATAGCACTCTTCTTCTCACTGGTCACAGCTGTGGCCTGTTAAAGTCAGGCCTGTTCCTAATCTTTGGTAATTGGCCCAGCTGCAGCTCCTTAGGGGTGAGATTATTTTCTGCACTATATTTTCTTATATTTCTATCCCCCCCACAATTTTTGAGTCAGCTCTGGAGGTGAGGATGTGCAAGAGGTGACCTCTCTTAGGCCACGTAAAGGACAAGCCCCACAGTGCTGAGGGGCTCAGGTCAGTCTCTGTTTGTCTTTGCAGAAGAAGTGTACACGGTGACTGTGTTACGGCATTGTTGTTCGTCCTTGTTTTTAGGAAGTAAAGCCGGACATTAGCAGTCAGGTAAGTGGGCAAGGTGAGCAGAGACTGGTGGATGGAAGCAGTTGGTATTGCTCAGGTCTCGATTTCTGGTGCAACACTTAGGCTCCGTTCTCGTTTGTGTGCTTTAGGCGTTCCGGTGGTATTATGCCGAGACCCCCTCATCAACTGGCCAACGGACCCAGTTTGTCGCTCTCGTGGGAATTGATCTAGAGGAGTAAATTTGTGTTTGAGTGATTATGTATTTTTTTTGATCTATTGTTATGTTGGTCTTAGTCGTGTTCATTGTTTTAAACTATGTTTGTGTTCGAGTGATTATGTATTTTTTTTGATCTATTGTTATGTTGGTCTTAGTCGTGTTCATTGTTTTAAACTATGTTTTTGATACTTTGAGGCAACTTCTTTGTGGTTTTGTGGTTTTTTGTTTGGTTTCTTTTTTGTAATTAATATTACATATTAATATTATACAAGTATTTTTTTTGTAATGATTTTAGTAATTTTAATTGTTGTGGCTTAACTGTAATTTGGACAAGAGTGTATAAATTGTATTTTAAGAGTTTGTGATATATTTCACTCGTGGTTTTAAGGGTATTGGTGAAATGAAAACCTGCCTTTTCCAGGGTGTTAGGGGTATCACAGGGGTGACGGAGAATCCCTGTGCTCTATTTTAAGTGGAAGGGGGAAAATATTGTATATAAATATATACTATGTATATAAATATATACATTTATATACGATGTATCTAAATATCAATAAATACAAAATAATATAAATCGACACAATACATAGTACAAATTATAGTGTATATATCTTATTTAATTATAACATATTATATGTAATATTATATATCTAAATATAGAATCTCAATGTATTATAATGTAATATATAACCACTTAAAAACGTAAATGTCAACGTAAAGATGAAAAATATAAATATAAAAACATTTAAATATAGTTTAAATGAAAGGGGGTTTTTGGTTTTTATTTGGTAATACGCAGAGGTTTTATTATAAAAAATATAAATATAAAGAAAATAACGGTAGATATCTAAGTGTAGAAACACATCATAAATACCTAAAGATATAAATAAAAATTAAAAATTTAAGTGAATGTGTATGTAATAAAAGTGATATGTAATAAAAGTAAAAAAATTATATTACATGATGATGTGTATTATATATATTTATAAACGTAATTTATCAATATAAACTACAAACGCAAATGTGAGTATAATTATGAAAAATATAAATATTAAAATAATTTTAAATAATTTAAAAGAAAGGGCTTGGCTTTTTTTGTTTTTATTTGGTTAGAGGCAGGGGTTTTATTTTAGATAATATGAATATACATAAGAAAGGGCTTTTTTTGTTTTTATTTGGTTAGAGGCAGGGGTTTTATTTTAGATAATATGAATATACATATTATTTTGATATAGTTCCAAATATGGAAATATATAATCAATATATAAAGATAGATATATTTTTATTTATATTTTTTATATTTATAAAATATATAAAGAGTTTATGTTTATATAATGATATTTATATATCTTTATGGTAGAGATGTAATATATAATATAAATAACACTATGCATCAATATACTTTTTAAATGTAAATGTGAATATAATCATGAAAAATAGAAATTAAAAAACTTGAAATACAGTGTGAAAGAAAAGTCCTTGTTTTTATTTGGGTAGAGGTAGGGGTTTTATTTTACACAATATAAGCATTATATAAATATAAATCGAAATATATAAATATATAATCGATATATAAAGATATGTACAAAACTAGAAATATAAATAAGTAATATAGAATATAAATTACATTTACACCAATATACATTATGAATATAAATGTGAAAATAAATATGAAAAAAAATTGAATATTGTTTAAAAGAAAGAGGTCTTAATTTTGCTTCTTATTGGGTTAGAGGCAGGCATTTTTTTCCCCCTCCGGGTTGTTTTGGGGCATTTATTTTA